TAACCAGTCTGTTATACCATTGAAAATCTTGTGTTCTTCACCATTAGAAGTTATTTTCTTTGGTTGACTTTTAACGTTAGACATGTAATATATATTGTTGTTTTGAACAAATGCCTAAAGAAGARAGTGTTCATCTTTTTTACTCCGTTTATATAAGAATAAATAAATATTAACGGCCATTTTGTCCTCGCACATTTTCACGTCTCCTTAAACCGCCAGCCCTCCTAAACTGCTTTTGCTTTTATTTTTTCGAAAATAGAAATGATTGTATTGTTTCTAAAGAGAAAACATAAAARCGGTTTTTAGAGAGATTTTTAGGATTCATAAAAAGTGTGAGTGACTACACACTTTGTTAATTGTACAAAATGGCGTAGTTGTACATTGTCTGAAATTTTTAAGTTTTTACTCTTGCGTTAAATTTACGATGCAGTCTTAAATTATACTCTATTACTTACCAATGAGTTCCCTTGGTTACCCCATATTGCTAGTTGAACTTGTTTTTCTTTATCAGGAGGGTTAATACGCTGAATTGTTCTTTAAAACCAAACATATATTGACATAAGTAAGGGAGCGAATGAATAAAAAGCTTAATGGTGAAAGAGAGAGGTTTAACAGGAAATGCATATACATATATCAGATACACAAACTTAATATTGAAGAATAATTTTTCATAGTGCTCAACTTAAAGGAGCAATTTATACATAAAATACTGAGCTAGACGCTTCGGATATGATCAATGGATCATATCCGAAGCGTTTAGCTCAGTATTTTATGCATAGATCAGATAGGTATATTCAAAAAGGTTGTCAGGGAATAAGGCAAATGCACGACCGAAAGTTACTAGCTTTTTCCTTGTGTTTTATTGCTTTTCTCGTTAATTACCAATGTAACACTAAATGACAGGGGGCTAACTAGAAAACTTATTAGTTAATTTAGCCCTCTGGCTCTATTTCTTTACAACAAATTTGGATATTTTTTATCTTTTTTGTTACAAGCACCTTATTCTGTCAAAAAGAGCAATAAAACAGTTTYAGTAACTTAAATTATGCTTTGTTTGCGCGTATTTGTTCTGGAGATGAGTGTAAATTTATCATCAAAAAGTGAATATCCATAATGATTTCGGTTGTGCAATCGCCGATCCCATCTGACAACGTTTTTTCAAATAGCCACATACGACCAACGGAGRGGACAAAACTATGGATGGACATATTGATGTCAGAGACGTTGAATTGACAGAGAGAATGGCTTCCATAACAGATGACAAAAGAGTTACACATGATGAACGTGCCTAAGTGTAAGGTTTTGAAAGAGCCACTTCACCTCGTTACCAGGTCCTCTATCCCTTTGCTTGGGAAGGGATAGGATTAAGGGCCTGGGAACGAGGTTGCAGAGCCACTGTAAGCTCTTATAGTGTTCAAACATGATGCGCTCTACTTACTTATTGTCAACATTGTAAGCAATGTAATCAGCAGTATACGAATGTCTGTACAACTAGTGGATAATAAATATTTCCAATTAGCTGAGGACTCACATACATTGTATCCACGAGTATTCAGAGAGCAATGCAATAGCCGAATTGCGAATTTCGCCTCAGTAGTCAAACAAAAAGGACTCAAGACGAGGCGCCGTGCGAAAAGCTCAATCAATCGTGAAAAACTATTGTCTTTTTTTACGAATGACTGATGTTTATACACAAAGCATATATATATATAGTATAAGTAGAATGAAATAGAACAAAACACCAACTTGAAGCTATAATAACTCTGTTTATTGGACGTTTCGGCACTTTGGCCTTCTTCAGCAAACTCTCTCTATATATTAGATAGTCCAGAAGGCGCGCGCCTGCCGCGCGTCTGAAAAGCAAGTTACCTCGAACGAGGTTTCGAGAGACGTTTCACAACATATTAGAGCGCGTAGGTCATTAACGTTTCCCGTTACAGTTTCGTGCACGACCACGCTGCACGATGCAACGGTACGTTGTAAAACAAACCTCGCAATTACAGGCGATCAAGGGAAATTTGGAAAGAGAGTGTCGACATGCAGCATTGTCTATACTGGTTATTTTATCAAGATACCAACCTTCTTGTAGTTGCACGGTAAAAGGACCCACTTTTCGTCAGCTGACAACTGATACAAACTTCCTGCAGCATTTTCTGAATCCTAATAACGCAGTTATCACGTAAGAATCGATATTTGTTTTATATAGATTTGCCGTTAATAGCCATCCTTATGGAACAATAAAAATATAGAAATAAATGTTTCTAGCGAGCTGTCCATCTCGCCCGCTACAATGACAACTTAAATGCGTCCTCTGTGCCGCCATATTGGATCTTGTGACGTCATAACGTCAAAGGTCCATTTTG